CGCCCCGCCGGGGGAGCGCACCTGTGGCGCGCCACTCGTTCGGATAGATTATCCGGCTGGATTCTCCCAGACATCCTCCAGGAGAGGAAAAAGGACAAGGCTTTGGTCTCTGATGTTTTACTTGCGCTCGGTTGAGACCAGAAATTTGGGTCATCTGACCCCGGGGACCGGGCCCTCCCTGCCCACTAGCTCCCCCTGCTGCCCGGGCCACCTTTCTCACCTGCAGGAAGAGGTTTCCATCTGTCCCCCTTTCTTGGGTTAATTTTTGGTTTGCTCTCATCTGTCATGTTCTTAAATCTGTCCATCCTATTTCTGGCTTGCTGACATTGCTCTTAGAAGTGACTCACCCAAATTCTTTCTAGATTTTTAGGATCGGTTCCCCTCCTCTGCACCCCCCATGCATGCTTCAGTAGTTTTCTGCCTTTTTTTTCTTCTTCTCGCTTTGAATGCCTCACATACTTAGGTGTTTTTTTTTTTTTGTTTGTTTGTGCCAATACTAGGGCTTGAACTCAGAGCCTGAGCATTGTCCCTTAGTTTTTTCGTACAAGCCTGGTGATCTACCACGTGAGCCACAGCGCCACTTCCAGCTTTTTGGTAACTAATTGGAGAAAAGAGTCTCATGGACCTTCGTGCTTAGGCTGGCTTTGAGCCGCGATCCTCAGAACTCAGCCTGATGAGTAGCAGGGATTACAGGCATAAGCCACAGACAGGCACTCAGTTCCTTTCCATTTTAATATTCCAAAAATTTCCATTGGTCCTGTGATAAAACTCTTTAACATCCTCCATATTTCCTCAGCCCTCTTTCTGTTACAACCTATCAGCGGTATGTTTTACCCTTTTTGCCGTGTGCACCGCAGGTGTCTTATTGATGCCCTCACACAAGCATGATATTACTTTCTTGATAGGGTGAAAGGGCGGAAGATCTTTGCCCTCCAGTCATCTCTGTTACATCTCCCTCATCAAAGGGGTCCTTGTAGAGACCAGTATTAAATGGTAACTCTTATATTTTATGGCAGTATGCATTTTAATTGCTTTCATAGTTGCTATTGCATTTGTTCTCTTGCTGCTGACCAAAAACCTCTTCCTTGACTTTGGCCTCCTAAGTAGTTAGAATTGCAGGTGTGAGCCACCAGCCCCTAGCTAACTATCAATTTTTTTAAACTAGGCTGCCACAGATGCTGCCCATTTGCCTTCCTCAGTTTCTTGTGCAGAGATGAGTTTGCAGCAGGTTGGAGACCTATCTGCAGATTGCTTAAAGCATGGTCTTTGGTAATATAGTATCTGGGAACTTGGACTTTGGAGTAGTCCTTCTAACTGGTAGTTTCCTGAACGAGCAATAAGTTTGTGCTAGCATCTGCTTAGATCTGGGGAATTGCTGGGTGGTAGCGTGCTCAGCTTTGGCAGAGATTGCCAGCCACACAGTGAGTGTGTCTGTTGGCCTCTCACTATCAGTGTACAGACGTCCTGTGTGCTCCACACCCTCATGATCTGGGGGTGGCCTTTCATGCCACACATTATGGTGGGAATGTCAGGATGTTTTGTGCTGGTGTAAACTGGCATTTTTCTGGTGGCTAATGATAGTGGAACTTCTTCATTTATGCACTGGCCATTTGGAATAACCCTGCTTGTGAAATACCCAGGTCTTTTACTTTTTTCTTTTCAAGTTAGGATATTTGTCTTTTATTGTTTTATAATAGTTTGTCATTCTAGAGTTGAGTTTTGTCAGATGTTACAGACACCGCCTTTCATTTTGCTCTTTGTAATGGTGTAGATGAAGAGAAGTTCATAATTTTAGTTCAGTCCAGAATAGTATTTATTCTCTTAGGACTTTCCGTGTTCTGTTTAAGAAGCTTTGGGATCTCAAGTTTATGAAATTACTCTTCTTTGTTTTTGTCTGGGGTTGTATTGTTTCACCTTTTACACAGACGACTATGATCCATTTTAAGCTTATTATGTGTGTGTATTTGTTGGAGATAGAGTCAAAGTTCACTTATTGAGAAGACTATCTTCCCAGTGCTACTGTAGTATGGTGGATTGTGGTAAAATCCCAGCACCATTTCCTGCAAGGTTGTTATCCTTTCCCACTGATTGCCATGGAAGCCTTGCCACAAAAGAGTAGAAACCTGTATGTCCATTTTAGAACTGTCTCCTTGGCACCATTGGCCTATTTGTCTTTTTGCCAATAATATAGTGCCTTAATGACTGAAAGTTTAAAGTAAATATACTACATTTACTCAGGTAAATCCTCTGGTTTTTGTTTTTCAAGCTTGTATTTTGGCTAGTCTAGGTTCTTACTATTCATATATATGTTAGGATCAGATTATCAGCAACTCTCACCACCTGCCAGTGTCTTGCTCTTGGGTGGGGGGTCAACTGGGATCACCTGGAATGTGAAGATTAAATTTTGGGAAAATTGACTTTTATAATATCCAGGCTTAAAATCTACATGCGGCTTATTCATGTTTTGGTTTTTCTTAATGTTCTACGGTTTTCAGTGCAAAGGGTCTATACATTATTGTTATTTCTTAATTCTTATGGATATTTGACATAAACAGTCACATTTTCTGCTCATGAGTACCATTTAACTTCTTTCTAGCCTTTGTGCAGTTTGGTTTTCTTGTCATATTGCACAGTGGCAGCCTTCAGTACAATGATGATAGACGTGACCAAACATCCTTGTCTTGTGTGATATCTGTTAAGAAAATTTTTTGTTTTTGTGGAAAGGGACATGTGGGCTTCCTTCAATTGACAACCATTTTTATTTACTTTTGTAGGTGTGGCTAATGTAAAAGCAGCCCCCAAAATAATTGACACAGGAGGAGGCTTCATTTTGGAAGAGGAAGAAAAAGAAGAACAAAAAATTGTAAATGTGATTCATCAGCCAGGTAAAGTGTGAATTTTTCAGAAAATAAGTATCTAGGTTGGCTACTTTGAGTAACATGTATTATTTTTTGCAAGTCGATGTTAAATAATACCATAGCTTCTTTAGTCTGTGAGCAGATTATCTTTGTAAGAGGGATAATATTTGACAGTTTTGATGAAAAGAATCCAAGAAACACCCATGCATGTGAAAATTATTTAATTTGTAGTTTGTTACAAAAGTGTGTTGCTGTCTATTGTTTTAAAACAGGTGTGGCCAGTCAATACATTGGTGAATAGGGGGTTGGGAAGGTGGCTCAGTGGTAGAGTGCTTGCCTTGCATACATGAGACTCTGGGTCTGATTCTTTTTTTTTTTTTTTTAATTTTTTATTGTAAAGATACTATACAGAGGGTTACAGTTACATGAGTGAGGTAATGAGTACACTTCCTCTTGAACATTGTTAGCCCCTCCAT